ACTCATGAAAGTTAATGACACCACAGAGACACAGGCAGAGGAATGTTTCATCTACCAGCTAGCATTGCTAATTTGGATGGGTGAGCATTTACTTGCGAGATATCGACGGCTACAGCAGCCAATGTTTACAAAAGCAAATACGCCCCTTTGAAATGTTGACACTGATTTGAATGTAGGCCGGAAACGTCTGCCATAGAAAATTTAAAGCAGTACGGTGGTTCCAATGGTAGTGATAGCTATTAGTTTTTAACGAGACAATTGCTCCTGTTGGCGCATACGCACGATCATTTCCAGAGTCTGCATGTACACGTTACACGTACAGTACACGTTGAACTTATTCAAGCCTCGCCCGTACGTGGACATCATGAGAAAATTGTTTTTCTCAAAAAGGACGATATGAGCTAGGATACGCAAGCAACATCAACAGTGAGGACCTTAAATATTGCAAACTGTTTTCCAAGAAACAACTCCAGCTGATCGCCAACGATACGTTCTCTACTGAAGCTAACGTACTCTGGTAAATGTCTCCTCGTTGAATTGAAGTAGATAGGAAGCTATAGGAAGGCCTCTCTGTTGGCAGTTGTCGTACCTGTTATTGGAGAAGACGAAACATCCGGAGTGATTTGAGATTTGGGCGTAATTGCTTTTGTAAACAAACACTTCAATCACCGATTTCTCGCGAATAAAAACTCAGCCTAGAAAACTAACAACACACTCATGTAGATGAATGATTCCTCTGTCATTTGGAATAGTTTGTTCGCTAGATTGAGCTTTTATTCGCAAGAAATCAGCGATTGACATATTTGTTTACAATAGCAATAACGCCCAAATCTCGAAGTTCTCCGGTCATCATTTTTAGTTGGTCTTCCGTCCAAGCAACATGCATCGGAATGATAGTTATTTAAGGTTAACCGTTGTATGCATTTCTTTTATTTAAAAAAAATCATCATTTTACTCTATAGTTTTTCAGTACCAAATTATCATATGTGTCACGAAAAGGTACAAAAGGGCAAGGCGCTGCAAGTTCATTAGTACATTATATAATTTTTTTGTTTGTAAATAGCAACAAAACTGAGAATGATAGCTTAAATTTTCAAAAAAAAAGTGTTAATATGTTTACGACGTTATTGAGGTAGGGGAATTTACGTATTCTCGGCAACCTAAGCAGCAACCTTCTTTCTATAGCCTTTTTCTCTAAGGAACGCACACATATGCAGTATTGGTTTGTTTACAATCTTTTGCTGCCAGCTGCTCTACAATTTCAGTCGAAAGAATTGTTAAAAACTGTTTTGAAACGCTTTTACAAAGCTCCAATCTTCTCTAGTGAGAGCGAGTATTGTCGGCAACCAGTTTTTCTTCGGCAACCGTTCCATTTGAATTGCATGTAAATCTGCTGTTCTATTATCGGCAACTCGAAATCAGCTACAATTTGCAGTGCGTGTGTTGCATTTCAAGAAAACCTTGCTAGATTGCTTTTTCTCAGTGGTAAAAACATGCATTCAGCGAAGTGTTTTCGTAAGAAAATCCAGTGAAAATAGTGTTTCAATTTTGGTTGCCGAAAATAGTCTGTCATGCCGAAGCCGTCATTTCCCCTATCATCCAAATAATTCAAAGATTAATTTTACCATTAGGGTAATCGTTTGGATCTTGAAATATGTTTACAATGTATTATTTGGATAACAGACTATAACTTTTAAAGAATTTCTTGTACATATTAAAAATTGGAGTACTGGGGCAGATATATGTCCATTTTTGCAATGGGACAAAACGACCTCACATTATTTTTTTTATTTTTCTAGAATAAACAGCATGTTTCAAGATAATATTTAAAAACAAAAGTGTATTGATTTATAACGTTAAGCATCATAACCTCAAAAAAGTCAAAATGTCACATGGGACAGTTATGCTTCCACCGGCAGTATACTTATAGACTAAGTGAAATGATATTCGAGAAGTTTTTCCTGAAAAAACCCGAAAAATTAAACTCACTTTTGAGTAAATCCACTTTCGACACATTCTTCGAGACGTTACAACACAGCAAAAAATAAATTTTAATATCACATCCAAGACGATGCACTTCAATCATGTCGAAGATCTCATGTATTTTTTATGGCCACACTAATAAACAAATGTAGTAAAAGCAACGTAATGTCCGTTCATGCACTGTATTAATGATAATTTTGTCCTTTTTGGCAAGCGATATTACGCCATATTTTCGGCACGATTGAAGTGTATCCACTTTGATGTGATATTAAAATTATTTTTTTGCTGTGAATGGTGTTTGCCTGTTTTTGACAGTTTTAGTGCTGTAACTGAAAAATACTAAATAACTCTCAAATAATATTGCAGATTTGGAAAGTGCGTTAACTTTCCTAAAAAAATTGATCAATATCTCTGAGTTGAGTAGCTCAGTGAGTAGTTGTTGAGAAGTGCAAAACGTTGTATCGTCACGCAACATAGTCGCTGACCACATATTTTTTTTGCTGCTCAAATCATAAACTCTTGGTCAATTGTATTTGAAAATTTATCACACTTTTCAAATCTGCAATAATATTTGAGGGTTATTTTCATTTTGTTCCAGTTACAGTACCCAAAACTGTCAGCAAATCAGGCAAACACGTGGATACATCCTGGTAGAATTTGTCTTTTGACGAAATTGAGGCGGTTTGATCGACCGTGTACATGCAATATTGGTGGGTCGGGAGCTTACATAATTGCTCTCGGTGGGTCGCAATTGAAAAAAGTTTGAGAACCGCTGTCTTAACCTTAGTCAGTGCAAATGATTTTATTTGCATAGGTGCTTCGGCAGCGGGAGCAGCTTTATGCTTACTACACGTGGAGCACTGTCCAACAGTTGCAGTGCTTCTACTACAGCTTAAATACTGAAATTTGATTACCATGAAGTACCATAATACTGCGCAGCACCTAATGTGTATTGTGATTTTTTTCTAAATTCTTATTTCTCCCGCAAGCAGGGATGGATCACTCTGTTGGGACTTTTTCGTCGCTTTTTAATATAGAATGCCTACGTTAAATCAAATTGAATTTTTAGTTTTCCCATCTTAAAACATTTAGTTTAGTGCTGTTATTCTCCCTATCAAAATTCTAAATATTCGCACCGTAAAGCCACACTATGTGTTTTCACTGAAGGTACACTTGAGAGCGCTCTCGAGTAGTGCTGTGATGAGGTCGTATTTATCGATAATATCGATATCGGTCTCTGAAAATATCGATATAATTTCGATATCGGATTTTGAGTATCGATATCGGATCCGATATCCAATATTCAATGGAAAATACATTAAACATATTTCATCCTCTTACAACTTCATAATGCATTTGGAATATCAAAAACATCGACATTACACAAACAAAAATATTCTATCCACTCTTCGAGCCTACATCGCTCAGTATTCGCCGTGTTTTCGAAACCAAACGCTCTCAAGGGACCGAGGTTGTAATATTTGACAGAAGTTTCAGAGCCACCAGGAACAAATATGGAAATATACTCTTCTTACTTGTCCTACGTAAGATGAGTACCGTAAAATAACATATGTAATTAGTTCGATACCACTCCTTGCGTAACTACGTTTATGTACGAAGTGAGCTGTCCACTTCGGTTATTATTGCGTTGAACCATTCCCTAGTGATAACTCTATGTCAAATAAGCGGTAGAGATCTTTCTCAACGGCTCGCCACGAACAAATTCTTCGTTACCAGATCCTTCGACTAGAGATAGAACCATGTTGATGATTATTAACATCTAGCCGATATCGAATTTCGATTATCGTTGATATCGCATTCTTAAATATCGGTTATCATATCGATAATTTATACCCGATATTTATCGATAATATCGGACTTATCGATATCGTCACAGTACTACTCTCGAGTGTAGTCCGCTAGTGAATTATACCTATCTACATTTTCCAATCACTTAAAATTATCTTCAATTTATAGTTTTTTGGAATTTTTATAAACTGAGCAGAATTAGAACTCTTTACGGTATGATACATATGATACTTTAACTTTGTTCTCTCATGACACAATTAAGACTCATCTCAGCGTTGATATCAATTGCATCTAGTTTTTACCGGATGGGGCATTGCTAGCTGCAGCAACACTCATCCATTCACTCTAGACTCGAGTAGTATAGGGCCAAAGTGAAACATTTCCATCCTGGGTATTTGCTTCTTTTCGCCATGATCAGGGACTAGGTCAAATGACAGTCGATAGTTTTATTTTTGTTGAAGTTCCATCTGCGGAATTGTATGTTACCCGTCGGATTACAATTCAGCATCGGATAAGAGATTTCTTTTCCACCATTTTGAAGTGGCCTGTTCTCAAATTTAAAGTTATTATTATTTGTTTATTAACATTAATAGGGCCAATGTGGCCACAATGATGGTTTTAATCCTTTCCCGCCCAGAAGGTTTTCCATTATTTTGAGATACAAAAATTAATTTAGTGCATTAGAACAAAAGACGTTTGTATATATGGCCTAAATTTATCGAATTAATTAAAAAAATAATTACCGGATTGAAGAGCTTCTAAAGCTCTCCTCATGGTCATTTGCTATGCGAGTTGCGTTTATTTTTAAAGCTTTATGATGATGAGAAATGAAAACGTTTTGCCAACCAACGCAAACGGAACAACTGTTATCATCCCCACGATTAAAGTTTCATCGTCATATCGATCTCTGAATATTTCACTCAACCGAAAGTGGCACATACCTTCCTTGGGTGGTTTACGTCTTCGTCACTCTCTGCTTCTATTATCGTCATAGTGGGGGAAATAAAGAACTTGTGCACGACTTTTATAGGAATATAAAGTGACGAAGACGTTATATCCCCCATTTGTATGAATAAAGCGAAAGAATACAATAGTCGCGCAATTAGGGTGTTATTATAAGGAATGGGTTTATACCGGACTGGGTGTTCATAATAAAGTAGAAAGCGATAGCTCATTTGACTAAATCGACTCTTTCCAACATTTTACAGAATTCCTGCACCTCACCAGCAGTTCATCCGGACTGACGGCTACCTTCGAACAGAAGAAGGGCACTCCGCTGTGGCAGAAGGACCTCTCCACTCCGGTGGTCGCGGTGTTCCTCCTCGGTCCCGAGGGTCTCCTAAGCGTACCATTCCAGACGGTTTCGGACGAAGTGCTGCGGGAAGCCAACGATCGAGCAGCGGTAGAGGGCAGTCTAGCCGATCTAAATCTACGGTAAGCGATGCAAATCCAGTAGCTTGGTTGCAGCATGTCTAACATTTCGACTTCATTTTGCAGCTCCACCGTATACGTGGGCGAGACATCCAACAGTATTTACGCGATTCCTTCGTTGGTGGATAAGAACACAGTCACACTGCCATCGGAACCGACGGTTAATCTACTGGGTGGTCCTAGAAAAAGCGAAGCTGACGGCGAACCACCGGGACATGAGCTGATAGCGTCGGACACAGGACGCATTCAGAACAATAACATCATCATTTTAGGCCACTACCAGCCACCGAAGACGGATGAAAGTCTTAAATTGGACATTTCTCCCGGTTCGCCGGGTCGGTTTTACAAGGATGGCCAGCTGTCGACGGTGCTGCTGGAGTTCAATGGATTGCCAAAGGTGGAAGACAAAATGAAAACGATCGGAGTTCAAACGGATGATAACGAAACACGGATGAACGAGACGATCAGAAGGGATGATACTAGCTTGAAGGGCTTGATCGGGAGGTTCTATCTAGATGTGAAGGCGTGGTTGGAGGCACAGCCGAACAAGTTACCGACAATGATGTTCGTTGCGTTGTTTGGGGTGGTCGTGTTTGGGTTCTGGTATTTCCACCTACAAATGAAGGCACTGCAAGAGCAAAGTCAGAACGGGTCACAGACCAATTCGAACCGAAGCAGTGGTAGCAATTATGTGGAACCGATTGATTTCGGTGATGGGGAAATACGGGTGGGGAAGATTAATTTTAACACGCAAAATGTGTTGGGGAAGGGGTGCGAGGGAACGTTTGTGTTTAGGGGGACGTTCGAAAAGAGGGAGGTGGCAGTGAAGAGGATTTTGCCGGGGTGTTTTACGCTGGCAGACAGGGAGGTGGCATTGCTCAGAGAAAGTGATGCCCACGAGAATGTGGTGAGGTATTTTTGTACCGAGCAAGATCGACAGTTTCGGTACATTGCCGTGGAGTTGTGTGCCGCTACTTTGCAGGACTATGTAGATGTAAAATCTGTCGAAACGCTTCAGAAGCAGATATCTGTATTGGAAGTGCTCCAGCAGGCAACGAATGGGCTGATACATTTGCACTCGTTGAATATTGTGCATAGAGATATTAAGCCGCAGAATATTCTACTCTCACTACCGGATAACAAGAAACGGGTGCGAGCGATGCTATCTGACTTTGGGCTGTGCAAGAAACTGAACTACGGCAAGGCAAGCTTTTCACGAAGATCCGGAGTCACGGGGACCGACGGTTGGATTGCACCGGAAATGCAACGTGGTCATCGGACCACAACTTCAGTGGATATTTTCTCGCTTGGTTGTGTATTCCACTATGTCATCTCCAAGGGTTACCACCCGTTCGGGGACAATTTGAAACGGCAAGCGAATATCCTATCCGGCGAGTACGATCTACGTACTCTCCACAAAGAAGGAAAACCGAACAACTTGTCGTCGCTGGCTGAAGAACTAATTAGCGATATGATCGCTGCTGATCAATCGAAACGACCGCCGGCAGTGGCGGTCCGGAATCATCCACTGTTCTGGAGTAACGAATGGATTCTATCCTTCTTGCAGGACGTAAGCGATCGGGTTGAGAAGTCGGATGTCTTTTCGGATCCCTTACGAACGTTGGAGCGTAACGCCCGATTCGTTGTACGAGACGATTGGAGCTTACATTTGGATCAGGAAATCACCAATGACCTGCGAAAGTACCGTGGCTATCAAGGCTTTAGCGTGCGGGATCTTATGCGAGCGCTGCGGAACAAGAAACATCATTACCACGAACTAACCCCTGAAGTGCAGCAAGCTCTCGGGGCCATTCCGCACAAATTTACACAATACTGGATCAACCGATTCCCCAACCTTCTGTCGCATGCATATCATGCCTTAGCAGACTACTCCCACGAGCCTATATTCCATTCGTACTACAACGACGAAGTGAACTATCGGTTCAGAAAACCCGTCTATTTCGACGAGGAGGGCAACGAAAACTACGAACTGATCCGATACTACGAGGGAGCTCAGAAAATGAAAGCCACTCATAGTCCCAAGAGAAAGTCGGTCACAATTCAAGACCCCGATTCGTCGACTCCATCCACCCCGCAGAAAAACAACCGTCGAGGGATGTACAATTTCGGAAAATATTCAACGGCCGACACGAGCTTCATTACCCGGGAACAGATGATGGGAGGCAACTCGGCTGCTCCCGCTAACAACAGCAATGTCACTGCAACAGAAATGGGTACTGTTGAAACCGGTACAACCACACCGACAAACGGCGACGACGAAGACGAAAAGGCTGATAAGGACGACTTTATCACCGTGCATCATCATCATCATCATCACCAAAATAATAATAATAATAATCGCAAAAGGGTCAACAATAACAATAACTACAGTCAAGCTCGCAGGAGAGAAAACGCCAAGGTTACGTGGAAAATCGGACAACCACAGTCGGATTCAAAAAGTCAATAAGCAGGGCGTTGTAAAATGTTGCATTTCGTTACCAAGAATGTGTTTAGTTAAGAAAAAAAACCGACTTTTGCTCATTCCCGTCAAAAAATCAGTTCTGTTGTTTTGTGCAATATGTTTTCCTTAAGTTATTTGAAAAGAGTTTATTTTTTTAAAACATTTTCCACTAAAGTGTAACATTTCTAATTTTTAGAAAATTACAAAATCATGGTTTGAAATTTACCGATCCCTTATCCTGCCAACAACAACCACTAGGATAATATTCTGTGTAGGAGAACCAACTAAAGTGAATGCATCGTGTGAAACGATCGAGTGTCTATTGGGATCTCATTAACACACCCATACACATATACTAAAAATAGACATACAATCAATTCGATTATTAAGCACCCCTTACCTCCTCATTGTTAAAGTGCAGTAGTAGTTCAAAGAGGTAATACAAAAAAAAATAGAACAACATTGTGCGTGTGAACAAACATTTTACAAAAAAAAAAAAGAAGTAATATTAACTTTATTGCTGCACCGTTGAGGCATGCACACATGTTTGTAATTGTCTGTGATACTTTTGCTAACCGATTTGGATTTGTATGACTAAAATTTAAAAAAAAATGTGTAGATTATGGAAATTATAACCAAATGGGGGTAGTTTTTCTGTTTTGAAAATTGAAGTGCAAAACATATTGGTTAGTCACCTTATTGTTTTTTTTTGCGAGGAAAGTAGATTTAAACTGTAACCAGCATATTCTACGATTGTCCGGTCAAACTTCAACTTGAACGCTGACGGAAAATAAATAAATCTTACTTTTATCTAAAAAAAATGATGTTTTTATTCGAATCAACAAAATAGATGGGAAATTTTGTCCCTTCTGTGTGTTAAAAATATTACATACGCAGGGTGTCGACTACCTGGAAACACCTGGAAAATCAGGAAATTAATTAATAAGTATGACTGACTTGGCTAGTTTTGAACAACTTTTTTTTTTTTTTTTCCTCTGTTCGGGACATAACACCACTGCGACCAGTAATTTGATCTATTGTAGTATATCCCGTGTCCTTAGTTTAGTGCATGTCGTATTACTCCATCACTATTGAGAAATGATGAAGTATTCGGTTTTGATACAGTTGTCATTCTTGCCTTCATCGCAAGGAATCGATTCTAACTGAAAGGTTCCGCTATTTATACCCTTCGGAGTTGGAACACCCTCCAAAGGCGCGCCCCTTTGTCAGTCAAAATTGGATTCCTTAACAACAAAAACAAGCTATGACACCGATAATGACCATGCATCAGAACCCTAGTCTTAACCACTTCAAACTAGGGAACAACGATTAGAAGATTAGGAATCACATAGGTGAAGACTAACTAACTCATTTTTTCCTTGTTTCAAGATCATCCTCGGTCCAGGCAACCCGAGGACTTATCACTATCAACAAGGCATAAAAAGTAACAAGGACTAAGATGTGTTCCTTTGATTACTGAAAAATCCTGTTCCCCTAGTTTGAAGAAGTTAGGACTAGGAATCGGTGGTAGATCTTACATCCCGTAACGTACCACGAAAAGGTGATCTACCCACGTTACGGGGTAATTGAACAACTTAATTACAAGGTGTATCCTGATGAATGCGGGCGTCTTAGTGGAATACCTGTATAAAGAGAAAGAGAGAAGGATTAGTAATTTCCATTTAACTCTACTACCATCTTTGCTTATCCTTGACAGATACGCGTATTTCGTCTACAATGGTCAGACTTCTTCAGTGTCTTGTACTAAGTCGAGTATTAGTACAAGCAGGCATGGAAAATCATTTACATTCATTTCATGCATTCATTTACATTCATTTGCCTCTAACATTTTTTTATCAACAGCATTCCGCAAAATGATATATAGACAGAGCTTTAGTAGGTTTTGTTATTAGTTACAACTTGTTTATAACTCAAATCTTTATCTCTTATGCATCGCGAATTAGAGCGGACAGAACTTGTTACTGTTTTCAGTGAATGTAAAATACATTCACTGAAAAACAGTATTGGCTTCAGTTCGCTCTGGTTCATCATGCATAAGAGATATGGATTTGAAATTTTAACAAAACTTGTAGCTAATAACAAAACTTACAAAAGTTCTATACATCATTTTGCGGAATTCTATTGATGAAAAAGTTAGAGGCAATTGAATGTAAATGAATGCACGAAATGAATGTAAATGATTTTGCATGCCTAAGTACAAGACAGTACAAGAAGATATTTTCTAGGGAGCTTTAGGAAAATCTCTAATGGTGGTAAGCTCCAACTGGTATTATCCTCTGATTGATTGATTGATTTATCTTTATTAAGGAGTCTTTCACCCTGAGGCTGGTTCGCCTCCAACGCATTATCCTCTGATTAAATCCCGATCAAAACTGTCAGGCTGCTTTAATGTCGACATTAGAGTTAATCAACACGATTCTTAGCAAACACTTTGTTTCACGTGACGTGTGTAGTTCGGTTGTTGCGATTAGATGCGTATGTTGAGTTTGAAATTTCGGAAAGGGTGTATTCGTGCCCAAGCCTCGTTATTTTACTGAGTTGATCTATCCAGGCCTCTATTGAAAAAAATCGTGGAGGTGCCAAGGCAAAGGTGTTATATCCTAGACAAATGGTAAGTTACAAATTCGCTGTTGTCGTCGTCGTAGGCGCCGTCGTACTCGCCGTCGTAGTCGCGGTCGGAATCGCTGTCGTAGTTGCCGTAGGCAGTACCGTTAGTATATTTAAAATTAACCATCAGCCGCTGAAACTATATGAATTATCGCGTATCTCTGTTGTTCATTATATACCAAGTGAAAACTTAATCATATTTTGTCGTGGAGTGTTGTGGTTTTGAGATGCTCGATAACCCTGGAGGGATCGGTTTTGCTTAATGAGCAGAATATCATGGGTTTAATCCCCAGCTCTCCCACAACAGAATAAACTACCATCGTTGGGTTCCGAGAGCATAAAGCGCAGTTAATAACCAAAAGTTGAAAAGTTCAAACCATGAATTTCGGAAAGGGTGTATGCGTGATCCAGTTTGGAAGACAGTGTTGGCTGCTTTCAGAGACGTCGCTTCATTTGAATAACTTGTTCTTGAGTCGATCGTAGATTGTGGTAATGTGAGGGGCACGGTGGTTGATGGGGCTTACCCGTTCCTTTTCGAAGGATTTTCCACCGTCGTGAAATATCGACGGCCCAGAAGATTGTTGTGATGAAAACACCAACGTAGATGGGTCGATGTATGTCGAATCAGTGTTTCCACAAGTCGTGCCTTATGCACTTGTATTGCACTAATCTCTTTCGGGGGATATCGGAGATATATTTACTGTAAGCTGTGCTTAAAACACAGTTGCACTTCACTCGCGCACTTTCGGATGAACAACGAAATTCTTAATTGAATGCAATACTGCACTTGTTTCCTTTTCTTCCACGACCGGACAACAGGACAGAAAAAAGGGATGTATCGCTTCCGACGGTATATTTTGTACTCTCATATATTTACAATTGTCTCCTCTATCCTACCTATTTACAATGTACTTAGTGACCACTACAAGTGGGCATCAGTGTGTAGCGCATGCGCGCAGTTTCCATCTCTCTTCTCTTATCATCTCTGGTTTAGGATTAGGGTGATACCGTTTTAGTTTTAGATTCGTTTCAATTTATAGAATTATGATTTAACTTTAAGTTTAGATTCAGGATTTAGTTAGTTCATTTAGGTTAAGTAGGTTTAAGTTCATTTAGGATTAATTTAGTTTAAATTTAGTTCAACATCAATCAGTGGTTATAGAGCAACTGTTTTTGCATAATGAGTAGTAGATCATGGGTTAAAACCCAAGCCTCATTACATTACTAAGTTAATATATCCAGACCTCTATTGTAGAAAATCGTTAATAACATAAATTGAAGGAACGATTCAGAAAATTAAAAAAAAGTATATTTAGAAAAATGTGTAGTACGCCTGAATCGGTTCGGAAGACATTGTTAACTACTTTGGATGATTTCATTTTATTGTAATAGCTTCTTGTAACCGATAATGAACGATCGTCGGTCGTAGCTTGTTGTGATGTAAGGGGAACGGTGGCCTTAGAGCGACCGTTTTTGCTTACTGAGCAGAAGATCGTGGGTCAAAACCCAAGCCTCTTTACATTACTGAGTTGATAGGGTCACGTCATTTGCTTAGCAAGTTTTAAAAGATCGCATCACTTTCCAATGTGAATCCAGATCTAATTTACCCTTCCCACTAACAAAAACGTCCTTACCGTGACAACCGTGGAGATGCAGAAGTATACTCGGTCTCTAGTAGCAACGGTTGTTGAAATAATAATCCTTTCCCTCCCCGATGACCGTAAGGACGTGGCTGGCGCCATTATTGACCTCAAAAATATGGATTCTCCGGATTTTGTACACTGAGAATGGATTGCTAGTCCCAAGCCCCATTCATATGGTTCTTTGTGCAAATTTCTCTAAATCTGGTCAATCACGGAGTAGCAACTACTGAAATGTATGGTCGTCAATGCTCAATGATCATGCTCATGCTCACGATTCTTAGCAAACACTTTGCAGATCATCCAAACAGGGCCGGAATAAAAGTTAATCCGAGTTGGAGCTTACCGCCATAAGAGAGTTTTTACTAGAACTCCCAAGCGAATTTTTAGGGTATAATTCTGCGGAAATTCCGAGGCATTTCCGGCGCAAGCCGAATAGAATTTCTAGAGAATTCCATGCAATTTCCAGGAGAATTTAGAGAAGAACTCATAGATAATTCTGAGCAAAGTTTGAAGAAAATTCTCGGCGGGGGAATTTACCCTACCCGATGGTGTTGGATTACAAGTTTTGCTTATAAAAGCTATTGTCAGTTGTTGGTCGAGAATCTGAGGTGAATTGCATGGGAACGCTACGGAGAATTTCAAGCAAATTAAAAAAAATTGAAGCTCCAGTGAATTCTTAGAAAGAGTTTGAAATTCGAAGAGAATCTAAGGACGAATTTTACCATTTTTTAAAAGTGTTCTACAGAGAATTTTTGAACTGTAAGACATTTTCAAGGGACTTCCAGAGAGAATGTCAAATTTATTTTAGAAGGATTCTGACAAGAACTCTCAATCAATAAAAACCTGTAAAGTTTTGAGCGAAGACTTCGAACGTGTCACTGAACCAAATTCAAGATCCAGCTGCTGTCTCAGATATTACCCAACAAACAATCGCCTTTTGAAGAAACGACTTCTTGACGATTTTATTCAACTGCATGCTTAATAATACTTGTGCAATTTTTAATAATAACTTCTGTTCAGGCTTTGTTCACACACATCTGGAGAATTTATTCAACTACAACATGGTGTTGGTTAAGGTATTACGAGAAGCTTTTATTTGACTTCCATGAGTTGTAACTTATTCGATCAATTTTTTTATTATTGGCGTTTATTGGACATTTTTGCTTCCTTAAACAGCGATGATGTCATGTGAAGTAAAGTTTAAATTAGACACTTTTATACATTTATTAAACGATTATTCAACTGCAAGAATATAACCCCGAAAAAAAAGAACGGTAGCGACCGACAGACATAGTTGTCTTTTCTCATTTATGATTGTTTTCATTATTTCTGACGAAGCACGCACCACACATATCTAGAATTAATTTCACAAACATATACATGTCCGTTGCATGGGTTTCGAACCATGTACCTTCAAGATCACCAGCCGCTTGCCTTGCCATCTGAGCCATTCTAGAATACATTATATGGGCTGCTCAATATTCAATAAAAGCTTGCTTGAAACTG